ACTAATCTACTAGATTATGTAAATAAGATGGTTTATTTCATAAAATACCCTATATTTTGAATTTTTTTTTTCCATTTCACCTAATAGTTTTTTTTTTCAAAAAAGACTCAAACTTTGACGTATTCCTTGTTATTTCAGCAATGGAGCCCGTTACCAATGTGTCATCAACGAAAGGTTCAAAATTCAAATCTCTCTGGAGATAAAAGATGTAAATTTAGCATTTTAATAGTGGGTGTGTGTTAGTTATTCTTTAAAAAAATAATAATAACTATAGACTTATGCCATATATGGTTGCGAGTGTTATCATCAATGGACACAAACCAGCAAGAAAGTATTATGTTTTTTTTTTCAATTTTGTCACCCTAAATACCGCATCATCAGATGAGCCATATCACAATGTCACGACAATGCTACCTCGTCAAAAAAAAAAAAAAATGCAACGACAACGCCTAGTGCCAATCAACGATTGGTAACCTGGAAGTTACATGGTAATTGGTAACCTACAAAAAAGGAAGAATTGACTAAAAACAATAAAACGGTATACTATTTGTAAAAACAATTTCAAATTTAAAATTTACAAAACACTGGTTTTTGTGTAATTTGTATGATATATTTGTTTTATTTTTAACAAGTAATTGCCAAGAGTTCCATGCATCCTCTTTAAAAGAGCAAAGCCCGCCAAAGAGAAGTTCATCATCTCAACGTCTAAAACCCAAATTTAAGAATTCTCACATATAAACGCTCTCAAATGGAGAAAGAAATAATATTAGTGGATAGATAGGTTTAAGGCATATAAGTAGGGGTGACAATTGTTGACACGACACAACAAAAATACACGACATGAAACGAAATTGGGACGAAACTGAAATTTGAATTCTTGTTTGTGTCGTGTTCGTGTGAAGTGAAAAAAAAAAACTCGATGTCGTTTCGTGTCGTGTTCGTGTATAAAATTCGACACGAAATTGACACGATTTAGCATTCATTTGTCGTGTTTTTCGTGTTTGTCGTATTTTCGTCTTATGTATGATTACCATTAATTAAACAAATTAATTGGTATATTATGTTAGCTTTGTCGTGTCGTGTCGTGTTGTGTCGTCTTCGTGTTACATAAAACTTTGTCGTTTCATGTCAGACAAAAACACGACACAATGGCCTGATTGCCACCCCTACATATAAGTGTACTTCTTAATATATATTGACGCCAATCATATTGTGGCTTATCGTGTCGTTAGAAGATAGGTCCACTTTTCTGCTTCTAAACTTTATATGGAAAACGCAAATCGAGAAAAAACCCAGAAGGATAGACCATAAAAATTCACTAGTGATTATAAAATTTACAACGCAATTAAATAATAAAAGTTAATTAGGCTGATTTTGGGGAGAATTGAAAATACTAGGCTTTAGAATAGGGTTATGGATCATTTTGTGACTGAATTTTTCTGGATACTTTAGTTTGATCATTATAGATTGTTTAAGCTACAATTGATCATTAAACTTGTTTATTTTTTTCATTTTATTCACATAAACTGGTGATAGTTGTTGTATAACATTGAACGACGTCGTCAATGTTATAATTAGTCATTTCTGGGTGTTTTATTTTAGCCATTATAATTTGTTTAATCTACCATTACTCACTATATTTATTTAAAATTTTCATTTTAGTTACTCTACTATTTTATTATCATTTATAAAAAAAACAATTATTTTTTTTCCTTCTGCACAATTAAACTTGTTACATTAATTATTTTAGAGTAACTTATACGAATAATCTTTGTGATTTAGGATAGCTTGTGAATTTAGTCCTTAACTGTTTTAACTCGAATTTCCTCATGACTTTAAGGTAGCGTTTTGCGTGTAGAACTGGTCGGGACAGAACATAACAATGTTCTTTTAGACGGCGTTCGATATGGATGAGACTAGAACAAGGTGGAACAATGACCAAGTCAAATGGGACTATTTTGTTAGACTTTAGTCCCTTTCAAAATGATGAAACTAAGTGGAACAAAACACATTTGGATATATATATATATATATATATATATATATATATATATATATATATATATATATATATATAGAGGAACAATNATTTGAGAACTCAAAGTTTCCTGAGAACCCGATAACCAAATGTGAAACGTTAAATAAAAAAAAAATGTCAAGATGGAAGGTAGGGTTTTTGTAAATAATTAGAAAATTAAAGAGAAGGGGGTATGTTAATTAAATAAGATCAGAGCATTATAGGAAACAAAATATTGTTAAATTGAATCCAAACTTTTGATACAGTAAACTTGCAATCTCTCTCTCTCTCTCTATCTCTCTCTCTAAAATGCACGTTCTGTGCTCTTTCTTCCGATGACGTTCTTCTCCAATACTTCCCCTCATTGATCTTCTTCTCCAATACTTCCCCTCATCGATTGCTAGATCCTTCATTGATTCGTTTTCCCCTAAAATTAACACCACCGCATTCCAAATCTGAGGATTATTCATTGTTTAACACCTCGTCTCATTACCGCCTCCAAATCCAGATCCAACTGTCATCATCGATAATCATCAATCGATAAATCCTGAAACGATCCAGGCTTGATTATCTTCAATCATCAAAAAGATGAAGGTGTGATGTGGTTGGGGTTCAAGGCGTCAAAGACGTTTAGTTCTCCTTCCTCTTTCGTCTGTGACGAAGTTGTGATTTTGATTTAGACGACTGACGCAATTGTGGCACACTTCGTTTAATTTCTATGGCGGTTCTTCAGGTTAGTAAATAATTTTGCTTTCTCAATCGAACTCTTTGACTTTCTTTCAGCATTACAGCCACAATTACGACTTTGTTCTTCGTTGCAGGCATGGTTCGTGGATGATAGCCATGAAGATCCACAGTTTCCTCATCATCGCAATCCCTATGAGTTCGTCTCCCCGGATCACTTAGCAGGTAGGTACCTTTATGTTTTCACTTTCAAAATCGCAAAAAGAATCCGATATGTATGATTTTCGGTTCTGGGAACCCTAAATTCTATTCTCGTTTGGAATTTACGTAGAATTGGGCGTTTTGCACTGGAAGCTACCAGATGCTACAATTACGTGGTAATCTGACACACTTTTAACCTAAATTCAACTGATGCACCTCTTTTTTCTTTTTCTTTTTCAGCTTAAGATGGCTGTAGAGTATGGATTTAGGTTTTGTGACTTCATTTTGTAGGATTTGCTGGATTTATGCCCTGAGAAAGTTGAGAATTATGAGCAAAAGCTGAAGAACTTCTATACAGAACACGTTCATGCAGATGAAGAGATACGTTACTGCATGGAAGGGAGTGGGTATTTTGATGTCAGGGATAAAGATGATCGTTGGATTCGTATTTGGATAAAGGCTGGTGATCTTATCATCTTGCCTGCAGGTATATACCATCGCTTCACCATCGACACCTCCAATTATATCAATTATTGGGCTAAATGATTTGACTGCTCAAGTCAGCAGACTAAAATTTGAGTATACAACACTCACTGAAGAATCCCGTGAGGTAACTTTACACTTTCAAAACATGTAGTTTTATTTTTATTTGCTAGAATTTTATTATTTGTTAGAAATCATCAAGTAAAATCATGTATTCATGACCTTTTGGATACTTTCCAACTAACTTGATATTATAAGTCAAAACACATGTATCTGCAAAGTATAAGATTTAGCTTGATATTTGATGATGGAATTGGGAAACGATGGAACGAAATGAGAAAAACTTGTTTGTTTTGCATGGTGTAATGGAATAGTTGAATCTTGAAGGAATGTTATTCCTTCCATTTGTTAATTTTCACTCCTTTTCATGAAGGAATGTTATTCCTTCCATTTGTTAATTTTCACTCCTTTTCATGGAATAAGCAATTTCTCTTTATGACGGATAAAGTTGTGTATTGTTTTGGATATGGAGATTTCAGCGCTATGAAGGGGGCTAACTATCCCTGATTGGAGCTTTTTTCATGGACTTTCTAGTATATTAAAGGTTTGTTATTTTTATTTAATTTATGATGTTCTTTAAAGCATCTAACAAAAAAAAAGGCAAAAATAATAAAATATATAAATACTTGAATTCTTTTTGTTCACAACATAACAATTTTTGAGCATTTGAACTACATGTGATTCACATGTAAATCACAAGTGAATCGCATATGAATTACATGTGATTCGCATGTAAACCACATGTAATTCACATATGAATCACATGTAATTTACATGTAAATCATAAGTGAAATTACATGTGCTTCACATGTAAATCACAAGTGAATCACATATGAACTACATGTGATTCACATGTAATTCACATATGAATCACTTGTAATTCACATGTAAATCACAAGTGAAGCACACATGAATTACATGTGAATCACAAACGGATCACATATGAATTACATGTGATTCACATGTAAATCACATATGAATTACCAGTGATTCACATGTAAATAATATGTGATTTACACGTAAATCACATGTAATTCACATATGATTCGCTTGTGATTCACATATGAATTATATGTGATTCACATATTAATCACATGTAATTCACATGTAAATCAAAAGTTAATCAAATATCAATTACATGTGATTCACATATTAATCACATGTAATTCACATGTAAATCAAAAGTTAATCAAATATCAATTACATGTGATTCACATGTAAATCACAAGTAAATAACATATGAATTACATGTGATTCACATGTAAATCGCAAGTGAATCACATATGAATTACGTCTATATGCACACACGCATTTTGTGTGAGTGTTCTTCGTTAATTATTTTTTAAAATTTTCTTGTGATTTCACATTTCAATCTTAAAAGATACAATCACATTTGAATATCACATTGCATGATCACATGTGAATCTTACATGATGTATACATGTGCATTTTTGTGACTGTTCTTGCATTAATCAATTTTTTTTTTAATTTTCTTGTAGATTTTGAAGAATTTTTGGAAAATATTGATGAGATGAAAAGCGATAAATTGAAGAAAATATGGAAATCTTGATATGAAGAAATGATAACACTATGAATCTTTGTAGTTTTTTTTTTATATTTTATTTTGTATCGAGTTAAATACTTGTAGTATTATGTTTATAGATTGATTAATAAAAATGAGATTTTTTATGATTACTTACGAATATTATAGTTTAAGAAATATACATATATGAATTTGAAAAACTATGCATATATGTACCAAAAACATTGAGTTTTTTTGTTAAAAAAATTAGGTTTTTTTTTTAATATTCTAGTTTTTTTTTTTAATTTACTGATTTATAAAATTTTACTTTTTCAAAAAATGTAGTTTTTTTTTTTTTGAAAAAAATGCAGTTTTTTTATAAAAAAAAGTTACAGTTTTTTAAATTGCAGTTTTTTTTTGAAAAAAATGCAGTTTTTTTATAAAAAAATTGCAGGTTTTTTCTGAAAAAATTGTAGTTTTTTTTTTAAAAAAATGGATTTTTTTTCAAGTTAAAAAAAAACATTTTTTTTAAAAAAATTGCAGTTTCTTTTTTGAAAAGTTTTGCAGTTTTTAAAAAATTACATTTTTTCATTTTTTTAAATTCATGTTTTCTGAAAAATATTAAAAAAACTCCATTTGAAAAAAATTTATTAAATAAAATCTGAAATTTGATTTATTATGTTAATTTTGTCCAATAACACAAAAAATAAACATTAAATGAGACCGTTAACGATCAT